CTATCATATATATATATATATATATATATATATATATATGACGGTTTGCTATATATGTTATATATATAACATTTCCTATCCCCCACAAATTAAAAAAAATCCCCTTACAGACTCAGGAAACATAAATAGTCCTTTATAAACCTAGAATACTGAAGTTTCCTCACAATTTATTACTTCACCTTTTCGTTGAGTTACAGCCTTCTGTGCCTTTCACTGATCGCCTTGGCCAAAAGAGGTTGCTCTTCTTAGCAATCGCTTCCAAAAATATATATATTCTATCTTTCCCCCCCTAGTTTTTTTAAAAGTGAAATAAAACAAAATGGAAAGGATTTTTAAAGCAATCCAGCCCTAGAGGAGCTGCATGTAAGAAATGAATCTGGGAGGAAAGTGTCTGAAAGCAGGTGCTTTTCTCTCCCTTGCTGCCTCTTTTTATTGCTAGGGGAAAAGAAGGCTGTCCTCTGAATATATAGAGGGAAACCCTTTTGCCATAGCCCTTTCTGAATGAGAATACTTGTGACATCATGAGTTACCTTCCCATCACCTCTCCCCCCAGGCTAAGGTGCCACATGACTCAGCCCTCTAGTGTGGGGCGATGCTCGAGGCAGGGAGGATTTTGTCTCTCTCGGATCTTGCTCTCACGGATCCTGCACCTTTTTAGCACGTAGGAGCCAGGAGCCGACCCAGATCTCAGTGACCTCTGTGAGCATGTGGGGCTCCAGCAAACCCAGAGAGCTCCTGCCATGCATCAGACCCTTTCTCGCACAAGGGATGCTGGATGATGATCTCAGGGAAGTTATTTCGCTGGCATTTTTGTGTTGAAATCCATCATTTCCGAGCATATGGCTCAAGAAAGGCGGAGGGGGGGGGGGCGCATCCTGACCACCCCCTGAGCCAGCTCCCTCTAAAGCTTTCCCTGTTTATATCTCAGCAGAAAGGAGCTGAGCTCTTGGTCCTCCGAGCTGCCTGGGGACATCAGTACTTGGCTCAGGGCTTCTTCAAAACAGCAGCAATCTCGATCTAGTGATGTTTTAGCACAGGGTCAACCCGCCCTGCCAAAGATCCAGGCTTGCGGAAAGGGAAGTTTTCTTTAGATCAAGGTCACTCATCTCTGGCTTGAGCCTTACCTTGTGTCTCAGACAGAGGCAATGTCACGGTCTTACCAAGGAAAACGGGGTCCTGCCGCTCTGGGCAGCAATTCTTTCCTTTTGGCCCCCGCCAATGCGAAGAAATCCCAGCCTTGAAAGCCAACCGGAAAGTTAACTAGCTTGTGGAAGCACCTTTCTTTCCCAACCCCCCGGGGCAAGCCAAAGCTTTTCTCTATTCAAATCGTATGTTTTCTCTTTGTCTTCCCTCCCTCTATCAAAGACAATGTACGTTGGAAAGATGCCCTTGAATGATTGCTGGTTGACTACGCCTTGATTTTTTTTTTTCCATTCAAAAAAAACCAAGCAGGCGTAAATCAGTTTTCCTGTAGGAAGTTGACCTGGGAGCTTGGCTAAGAGAATTGGCATCCTGACAACATTTTAAAAAAATGTGGAAAATGGCCGTGGTCTGTGTGGCTGGGTGAGGAAACCCACTTTCCTACGGGACTGTGTTTCTTTCTTTCTTTCTTTCTGTGTTTCTTTCTTTCTTTCTTTCTTTCTTTCTTTCTTTCTTTCTTGTTGTTAGCACTTAGAAACAGCCCTCCTCTAGGGTGGGGAGAAGGCGCTGACTCCAAACAGACTTGCTCCGCAATGGAAACTTCAGCCAGGCTCAGAGAACAAAAGCAAACAAGCAGGGCAGGTTCAGCTAATTTGAATCGAGTTATAACAACATCCCTGGAGGAGAAGCGGGGAGAAGGGGAAGAGACAAATGCATTGAAAAGCCTCCCTGCTGGACTGTGAAAGCAGTGCCGCGTAGGAGCAAGCAAGCTTCACCTTCTGGTTACGATCGGCCCCTCCCTGCCCCTTCTCCCCTTGTCCCCAGCAAGGCAGCTGGCTCACTTCCCCCAGAGGAGCTTTTAGCAGCTGCCTGCAGGCTGCCAGCACAAGACCAGGAGCTGAAGCTTTTCCCCGAGAAAAAGAGTGATCAGCGAAACCTGTTCATGCAGCCTGACAGTTTCAGGAGGCTGCGGGTGGAGGGGGGCATTTGGGGGGTAGGGTCTGCCAAGGGTGGGCACCCCCCAGGAGTTGTGGCAAGCTGGGTGCCGTGTAAGTCGGGCTCCGGGAGGAAGAAGCCAAGGTGTAAACGCTCGGATTGCATTGAAGGCAGCTCCGCTAGCTGTGCATCCCTGCTCGCAAACGCTACTGGCATGCCCATGCCCATACCCCTGCCGCTGCCGCTGCCCATGCCCATGCCCCCCTTTTGCAAGACCTATTGTTGTCCTCTTCCCGAGGCAGAAACTGCGAACAGCACTTCCTCCCATTTACTGGCTTCCCTCAGACTCCACCACACCCCATGCCAACTGGGTCCCAGGTAAGAGGAGTTTCTCAAGCAGGCTCTAACTTCTTTTACTCGGGTGAGGAGATCGCGTATAGGGAAAAGACAGAGCCATCAGCAAGACCCAGAAGTTTCCCTCCACCGGATCGGTGCAGAAGCCCTTCAGATGATTAAGCAAGGAGCCAGCCGCTCACCAGAACCGCCTTGCTCACTCAGATGCAGTCGGAGCTCCCACCGTTTAGCTATTAACACGATGCCCGGTTTATTTAAGCAGTATGTATTTCACTTAATGCATTCAAGCACAAAAAAAAAGGTTGCGTGGAACTGAATTAAGTTTTGCCAAATTCTGCTGTCTGGTTCCTAGAATCTAGTAGACACTGAAACAACTAATTTTCAAATTTGAGGGCAAGGACTCAGTTATTATTAATTCATAAAGTCTGTTTCTACTATATATAGTTTCATGGTGAATGCAGTTGGCATTCGGTGTTGGTGTAGACTGTGGATTATGGCAAGACTCCAGAGGATAAAACTCAAATCAGATTGTGGCTCCGATGGAGCTTTGTGAATGCGTTGGACTGGCTGGTTAAACCCAGTGAGCTGTCCATGGTGGTTAAGGACTTCTTGATTTAGTTTTCCTCCTGTCATAGCAAGTCTCAGACCACCTTCCTATAGGTGCATTTTCTGCTAATATCATCCCTGTGGTGCCTCTCTGGTGGTTTTGAATACAAAAGGCATTTCTGCTCACTGGAGAACGTACACATGGGCCATTTTAAAGATATCACCACATCCTGTATTAATGGCTCTATAAGCCTGTCCTTTGCAGGGGGGTGGTGGAGATGGAGAATTAATAGGTCTTTTCCATTTCTAGCTACACTGTTGCTATTTAATAATAAATCCTAGGCAAGTAACCAAGAAAGTATTTTAGGTTCCTCTTCTAAGCAGCCATACAAATATACATGGATCAAATTCTCATCAAAGTGCTAACAACAGCTAAGGGTCTTTAAGTATTTCCAGTATATCACCTCATAATCACCCTTAATAATTTCTAAAATGTTTACATTTAGAGTCCAATGCTCTTGGCCAGGTCTTTACTAAGCTGACATTTTCTTAACCTAATTTTGTTTGTTTGTTTGTATTTGCCTGAACATAACTTAGACCTCAACAATGGGAAGGAATGCAGCTGTCCCATTTAACTTATACATAATTGATACTGAGTAGGGCTGGCTGGAAAACAAATATTCCATTTCATGAAAAATTCTGAGGTTTTAACATTTGTTTTTTTTTCCACTATGGAACAAAAAACATCCTTTTAAACATTTTTCAAGAGAAGAAAGAGAAGCATGTATCTCCTACCCCAGAATAGCTCAGTGCACTTATATTAGATGTGGAGACCAAGGCTAAAGTCCCTGCACATCCTGATTTGGACCCCTAACCACTATTTATTGGCTTCTGGGGTGCCTGGCTCTCTCAATTCCATCTTGGACCTATTTTTGATAAACTAACATTTTTCAATAAGAAAAAACATTTAGTCAACATAGCTCTAAATAAGGGTTTCTCAATCCCCAGATCGCGGCCCGGTGGTGGGCCGTGGCAGGTCGGCTGCCTGTCCACAGCATGGTTGGCCCCCCCAGAGCCAGGCAGAGAGGCCACGGATCCTTCCACAAGGCCCACAGCAGTACAGGGTTTGGCCCACCTTCTGGCCCGGTGGGGTGGGGGTATCCTTACCTGTCTTCCGGACAGAAATTCTGGCCATGGTCAGCTGTGACTTCTGGGCTGCGGTTTGCCAGGCCGTAGCATAAAAACTTTGGGAACCCCTGCTCTAAATCAGTAATGCTTTGATTCTGAGAAGCTTACAATTTTGGATAAACTTGAATTTTGTAGAAGATTTATAGAAATGTGCTCTTCCATTGTATGATAAGTGATGAGAGACTGAAAATGGGAAGGAAAGAATTATTTTTATGAAAGATGAATAAACATGACCTAAACAGATCATTTCCCAAATATAAAACTCAGAAAATGTTGTGTTAAATTGTGGTCTCAACAGAGGCTATGGATTCTTATCCCATTACCTAGACTAGCTTTTATAACTCAATATGTTAATTGCTTTTTTTATCCCTATTGACCTATTCAGCTCACCTTTCCCTTCCTGCAATGCCCCCCACCCCATCCTTTCTATTTAAATTCCCTTACATTCCCTTCTATTTAGAACTCCTGCTTTCTGCATGGCAGTTCATAGCATCTGATGAAGTAAGCTGTTATCTACGAAAGCTTATGCTGCTCTGAAC